TTATTAATTACAAGTAACTAATTTAATTATTTTTATTGTTCTTGATTTAGGTATTTATTATTTTATATAGAAAAATGAAGATAATATGATATAATATGATAACCTCCTAATACTTTTAACATGTTATACAAAGTTAATTATCATTAATTACCTCATAACACAATTAACTATGAATCGACAATTATATAACAAGATTTAAAATTTTTCCTAATTACTTTGGAAACAAAACTAGTTATATTTACAAATATAGTTAACTTCATGTGATGAATAATGATCAATACCTTTGTGATATTATTAAACACTTGTTAAGCAATGTTAAATACGGTTGAAAACTCGTTGCACTATTAATCGATTATTATATATAATTATGTTTATTTACTTTTGAAATATATCTATAATTAACTACCTTTTCGGGCAAATGCATAGTAAACATTAGTTTTTTCCCTTTGAGTAATTGCAACATTTTTGTTTTCGGAAATATGGTTATTTTTTAAGACAAATTTACCCGTATCTTTTTTATTTGAAATTTGACAACAGCTTGTATAATTTAAACATATAAAAAGAAATACGGGTAATATAAAAAAAAAAAGATGACCAGAATTTGCCTCCAAACTTTCCATAACATATAATAAAAAAGACTAGATCAACCCGAATTGCTAATATAATATATCAATTTAAGCATTATATATTTTAAATTATAAAATTAAATATTTTACAATACATGTTTTAAAATCAGTATTATAATGTATAATATCAAATTATATAAAATATTATATATTAAGTTAAATTTTTATATTATTGATACATAATTGTTTTAAAAAGTTAAACTTGAAAAAAAAAATTATTAGACCATACTGAGATACTTAAAATATAGCCGAAACTAATTTTTAAACATACTTTTATCTAATATCTTAAATTAGAAAATAAATTTGTATTCAGCAAAATTATTATAATTATATCTTTAATGGTTCACGAGAATACAACTACTGAAAAAAAAAAAACTCGAAAGAAGATTGATAATATCATTAGTAATTATTTTGTAATGTATAACAATTGGATTTTGTAGAAATTTTTAATAATCATTAGTAATTATTAAAATATTTTTATCCAAATTTTTTCTTTTATTTTGATATATATTTTTTAATTATATAATATTGAGAAAACCTAATAATGATTAATAATTATTAAAATATTTTTATTCGAATTTTATCTTTTATTTTGATATATTTGTTTTTTTTAATTATTTTTGGTAATAGTTTATTTTATAATGTTACAAAAATCTAATAATAATTAGTGATTCTTACAATATTTTTATCCAAATTTTTTCTTTTATGTTGTTATATTTGTTTTGATATAATATAAATACTCTATAATATATATTTTTCCCTTTATTTTGATATACTTTTTTGTTTTAAATTATTTTCAATAATAATTTTAATATATATGTTTTTTAATTATTTTTAATAAAACTTTTTATCTAATAATATTATTTATATAAAAAATATTTAAAAGAGAATTATTGGATAAAATAAATATTTACAATAGAATTATTGAAGAGAAGGCTATTGAAGAAAAATTATTGAAAGAAAGTTTATTAAGAGAATTATTGGAGGAAGATTTTTGAGGGAAGAAGTTATATTTCCTTTATATATGTACTATATAATATCCTTTTTTTTTCTTTTTTTTTGATATATATTTGTTTGTTTTAATTATTTTCAGTACTAATTTTGATATATTTGTTTTTTTAATTATTTTTTATAGAAGTTTATTTTATAATATTATTTATATATAAATTTTTTTTAGAAGAGAATTATTAGAAGGAATAAATATTATAATAAATTTATTGATGAGAAGTTTGTTAGAAAGAATTATTGAAAGTTTATTAGAGAAAATTAGTGGAGAAAAATTTTGTAATGAAGAAGTTAGTCTTTATATATATATTATATTATAGATACCGAGACGCCACAGATATCAAATTTAACTAAATATAGACGAATCAAAATCTTTGTTTAGGGTATTCTGCTTTTGCCCATTAAACAAATTTTGGGTTTAAGTTGTCTATGTCGTGGCTGGAAAGAGGTGACAACATGGCATACTGTCAACTCGCATTTTCTTTAGGATCAGATTATTTTAGCGAGGTTCACAACATTAATAATTGCTTAGTTTTTCTAATAATAAGCAAATATAATATGTGATTTATTCAACTTTATTTAAGGAATTCTTTAGCTTACTTCAATTAAAATGAGATGAAATAATCACTAAGACATTCACATTGTCCACATTAATTTCAAACCTATTGTTCAGACGTTGCCTTTATTGACCTTCTATATATATGATTTCTTTTAATATTTCTCTCGAATAAATAGTAAAAATTTAATATATTTATCTTATTTTTTTCAATATTTGACCTTTCATTTTTTTCGTTTAAATACTTAACAGATCTAACACGTATCATGACACGTGATATGATGACATGATAGATATCGTGCTATCATGTCACGCGTGTCATGACACGTGTCATGTCATCATCTAATGTTTATATCATATATAGTAATAAATAAAGGACACATCCTTCACTAATCGTTTATAGTCAATTATACTCTTTAATTATTAAAAAAATAAAAATAAAAAATAAATATTTTTTTTAACTAGCATTCTCCTTCATATACAATGAAGAACCGAATAGAATTATCACTATCTGAATAACATGTGCTCTATTATCTTTCTTATTATTTTATTTTATTTTATTTTTTTGAATATCAAGAGCCTCTTTTTCTCAATTAAATAAACAATTTGTCCTTGTGAGGGCAAATATAATCTCAAATGGATAGGATATGTATCAGTTGTTGTCATGTCTTTCATGTTCGTTAAATTTCTTACTCTCCATCAAATGTTGATCTTGGCAGTGGCAGACTAAAATACTTGTGGTTCATGTTCGTAAACTGTCCACATTTTGTCTTTCAAATTTTTATTCGACATTTATTTTTCTCATATATAAAAACTAGTTGACATGTTCAAAAATAGTTGCAGTCGCGGAGTCATGAGAATCCACCACACGTATCTTCTCACCCACCTTACAAGTGCTACTTCATCACGCACGTTTACATATATTATATGGTTTATTTGGATCACGCGGAATTGAAGGAGAGTAAAAGTGAGAGAATGAAAATCCGGATAGTCTTTTAATTTTTATTTAAAAAGAAAGTAAAAAAAAAAGTGACTTTTAGAAGAAAAAATATATAGTTTTTTGTTTGAAAAAATATTATCTATTTTATAAGTAACAATAAAAACAACTTTTATTAATAAGTTGTTACATATCACACCATTTTTTATATTTTACGAATGAAACATCTCTTTTCCCCAATCCAAATTTTTTTAATTTTATTAAATAATTTTTATTAATAATTCCATGCCTTTACATTTTTCGCATTCATTTTTATTATTTTTTATTTTAATATTATATTATAATATAATATTTTTGATAAATTAACAAGGATCTGACACTTATTTAAGTACTTTCGACTCGAAGAGTAATCAATAAATACTAACTCTAACAACAAATTCTTATATAAACACTAACTCTAACAACAAATTCTTATAAAACATAGGTAGTTAATCATAAAAAGTGAATATAAGAATTACCTTTTTAGAGGTGACCTAAGTTTTTGTATATAAGAAAAGAAATCAAAACATGATTCTAACAAAAAGAAAGAGAGGATATAGCTTGTTAAAAAAAAAAAATAACAAAACAAAACTCAATATGAAGTCAAATACACAATTTTGGAAATTATAACCCAAAATTGAACTGATCATTTAAGTATTGGTTTCCAAAATTGAACACAAGATTGGTCCATAAACACCCTTTCTCATTGGACGTCCAATAAGCTGTGAAATAGTTGATGACTTCCTCTTCATTAGGTTTTTTTAAGTTGAACGTTGTACATAGGAAACTAAGAAATAGAGTACGCTCTTCGTTGAGAATCAACAACACCTTATTAGACTACAAATAATTGAAGAAGAAATGGAGGAAATCGAAATTGGGTCATGAAACTCCAACAAACCATGTAGAAGTTGAGGGTTAGAGGAGGAAAAAACTAAAATTGCATGGGCTTTGAAGGGGAGGAAATCCGGGAGATTAGGAATGGCAAGAGTAATTAATGATCTGAAAGAAATGAGCAAAATGACAAAGAAATTAATCAGAAAGATGGAGAGTCGATTCGGAAGAAACAAGAGAAAAAATATTGGTGAGAATTAAAAATAAGTAGGACATATTTGGTATTTTTTTTGTTAGAATTGTACGACATACTTAATTTGTATAAAATAAAAAAGAATGACGCATAATGATAAATTAGTCCATAAACTTAAGAAACCATTTACTTGAATTACTATGTAATAAGTGCTACTTAATGATGCATAATGAGAAATTATTAAGAGGTTGTAATACCACATAATATACATGTTATATAATGATCCGTAGAAATTATAAATACTAACGGTCTGATTAGATATAATTTAAAAGTATTTTTCTTTATTAAAAAAGTTCTTTATCAATAAATAATCTCTAAAAAATTCTTAGGTGAACTAGACTTGCTTAAGTGATCTTCAACTGCATAATAAATTTTCAATATATTGAGGTCCTGTATATCCCTCGCAGCTGCAGGGTGGCGAAAGTCGAAAGTCGAAAGTCCAGTATATATATATGGTACGTGTTTGATTGCATTAACATATAATTCAGCAGATTAATTACTTACGAATGAGCATGTTGAAAAATGATAAAATAGACATGTATGTATGCATGGAAGCAAAGCATAAGTAGTTGAGAAGAAAGCATGAAATATTAATAGCACGTCCTGCTGTTGAAGAAAGATTTGCATGGCTCCAAATATCTGGGCATGCAATAGGATAATTTAGAGATCTTAGCTAACTTAAACATGTTATATAAATAGGAAGGATCCTAAACCTAGAAAAGGGAAATTAAAAAAAGATATGATGAGGTGGAGATGGTTTTAGAAGGAGTGGAGGACATGGGCTGGGAAGAGGGATGAAATCTGGTTGATGAGTTGAAGCAATATTGTTCGGTGAGAAAAGAATAGTGTCCAAGTACACCGTACACGGGGTGGCCGGAACGTGAAGAGTTGAGGAAAAAGGAAAAGCTAAGAAGAAGATTAATTCGACGACAGGATGGTCTTTCGGAGTTGGACCTCCCTAATTGGCCTCCTGTCTCTCATCCTCCTCCCCCTCTCCTCCGCCATCCGCCTCGGCCTCGTCCGCCGTCCCTCGCCCTCCCTCCCCCTCTTCCGCGAGGCCCCGGCCTTCCGCAACGGCCACGAATGTGCCTCTGACATAATCAACGTCGCCATGACCCTCGACGCCAACTACCTCCGTGGCACCATGGCCGCCGTCCTCTCCATGCTCCAACACTCCACCTGCCCTGAGAACCTCTCCTTCCACTTCCTCTCCGCCCACGCCGACGCGCCGCAGCTCTTCTCCAGCATCAACTCCACCTTCCCCTACCTCAACATGAAGATCTACCGCTTCGACTCCAACCGCGTCCGCGGCAAGATCTCCAAGTCCATTCGCCAGGCCCTCGACCAGCCCTTGAACTATGCCAGAATCTACCTCGCCGACACCATCCCCGACCACGTCAAACGCGTCATATACCTCGACTCCGACCTCGTCGTCGTCGACGACATCGCCAAGCTCTGGGGCGTCCACATGGAAGGGAAAGTCGTCGCTGCTCCAGAATATTGTCATGCCAATTTCACTCTTTATTTCACCGATAATTTCTGGTCTGACCCCTCTCTGGCCAAGACGTTCAAAGGAAGGAAGCCTTGTTATTTCAACACGGGGGTGATGGTCATGGACGTGGACACGTGGCGGAAGGAGAGGTACACCGAGAAGGTTGAGGTGTGGATGGCGGTGCAGAAGCAGCACAAGAGGATATACCATTTGGGCTCTCTTCCTCCATTTTTGTTGGTTCTAGCCGGGAATATTAAAGCTGTTGATCATAGATGGAACCAGCATGGTTTGGGTGGGGATAACTTTGAAGGAAAATGTAGGAGTCTGCACCCTGGTCCCATTAGTTTGTTGCATTGGAGTGGCAAGGGTAAACCATGGTTGAGGTTAGATTCTAGGAAGCCATGCATCGTTGATCATTTATGGGCTCCTTACGATCTATATCGCTCCTCTAGACATTTTTTTGAAGAGTAGAAACCAGGGAGATCCAGAGGACTCGTGCTGCCAGCCGGAGATCATATTTTTTCATTTTTCTAACTCAAACTTTCGCTCTTATTGTCATAAAAAATTTAAAAAAAGACACTCAAATTTGGCTGACCAGAAAGGAAGTAACACCTCCAACGTTGTGTTGCTTTTTCTAGGCAACTGGGGGAGTTGTGTACTTTCATTTTTTCCTTTCTTTGGTTCAGTGTTCCTTAATCTTCTTTCTTTTTTGTTGCTTCATAGTGATCCTAGACGCGTCACAATATGCAAATTGTGCTGATTAGCTTAACTCTAGCTGATCAGAAAATTGTGTATTGGCCATGGTTGGGTTAGTTAATGCTAACGACTCCAACTTTTTGCAGAACTGTACCCAAATTTTGGTGTATGATTCACTGTAAATATATATTACGACGACATTTCACTTTTTTTTATTTATTATTATTTGGCTCAGATACTAGCAGGTTTTTCCTCTCTGCTTCTTAGTGCACGTATATATAGCTTGAGTTGGTAAGAGGAGGAAAATACAAGAACAATGGACACTTTTCTTTAAACTTACAATTTTCTCTATATGTTTGAGACTATCTCCGATGTAAGGTTCTAGAATAAGAATCGGTTTCTACACAATTTATTTTACCATTGATTGGAATAACATGATTTTCACGTATAGAACTAATTCTTCCACGAAAACTTACAGAAAACAAGCGTATTATAAAGTTGTTCACCTTATATTTTTCAAATGTCATCTCAATTTGTCTGCCATTAATGAATGATACAACCATTTCATTTTGTAGTGCTTTACACAAGAGGAAGAGGTTTGAATTTAGGTTTGTGCGCAAATTTTATCAAATTAAAATGCCATAAGCAATGACGTAAAATTTCTCCATTGACAAGGTTTCAAAGGTTCATAATTAAAAGTTCATCGTGATATTAATCTATTTAGTTTATCAATTTGCTAGAATAACATTGTTAGATATACTAACTTGTTTGGTTGTGTAAGAAATGTTTATTTCAGAGTATAATTTCATTCTTGTCGGAATCACATTCCGAAAAATATATTATGTTTAAGAATATTATTTTTTATGTACATGTTTGGTTGACATTTAATAATTTCAGAAAAAAGAAATTTTTATTTAATTAAAAATTGAAAAATAAAAGTAATAAGAGAAATGAGGAATAATTAAAGTAGAGAGATAGTTACAATAGAAAGTTACTTTCATTTTGATAGAAATATTAAGATACTCACATTTCACCGTGAGAATGAGAAGTAAGGTAAGTATGAAGATTTTAATTTCTTGGAAATCAATCATTCTTGAGAAAACTTTTGCCAAATAAGGAAATGTGATATTCTCAAGTTCACCTTTTTAAAGAATCCACTTTGGCACCTTGAAAAAACACAATCTACAACGTTGAAGGAAAGAAAAAAAAAACTAAATATCCCAAATAAAAAAATGTAGAAGAAATAAAGATTTTTTTTTTGTTTTCAAACTTATTCTTAAGTCTTGTCTCACTCTTTTTTTTTTTTTTTTATCCAAATTGAGAAAATTAATATTTAAGTGAATCCCACAGTTTTTTTTTCCTTTTTCTTTCTGTTAAATGTGTTCTCTAATTAGAGGGATTGGATTTCATTTGTTTTTTCCTTCCTTCACTGATCTTTCCACTCTTAATACTTGAGGATTTATGAAATTCAAGGAGAAAACTTTAATAAAACTTCAAAGATTTCATAACATATAAGATTAGGGTTTAAAGAGGAGAAATTTTGAGATTTTTTTTTCGTATTTTGAGTGAAATTTCATATCATGACTAGTAAATTTTGATTAGAAGGCAATTTAATCAATTCAATTATTTGTAAAGATTGTGGATAGAAAATACTGAAATTTAACAGTTTTAGAGAGACGCCATTGTGGCATATGGCAAAAGCATGACCAATACACGCTTGTGTCATAATTAACGATAACAATTTTTAGACTCCAAATAACAATAAACACCATTAAGTTCAAAACTTCAAAATTACAACAAAATGATAGTATAAAAAATTTCAATAAATCAACAGGTCACTGAATTTTTTAAAATTCCTAATTAGGCCACTAAATTATTGTTTTTTTAAATTGGGTCCTTGATCTTTTACAAATTTTGTAATTAAATCCGAAAAATTAGCAAAATTAGTAAAATTGTCACAAATTATTACTTTTGTGAAACTGTTACAAATTAATTACAAAGATTCAATTACAAAAAATATATATATAAAAGATTAATAACTAACTAACTATATATATATATATATAT